GCACTCTTCGAAAATTGAAACCACTCTGTGTTATAGAGCGACCAATTATTATCTTTTGAACAAATCTGTACGTGATCTATCCAGACAGGATAGAATAACATTTATTTGTGGTGATTGATTTGATCAGTTGAACAATTATTGGTTGGATAGCTGAGTGGTTATATTTGTTTAGGTAATAATGTACACTTAAATTTATGATAAATTATAGAACCGTCATCTTATCCAATTACTTTGTTTTGGTTTCAAACGGGCGAGGGCGCGTATCTAACTCATCCAGACAGCTGTCCAGCAGTCCAAACCATAGTTTAGATCTTACACTACGTACACAGCAAATGTCAGTTTTATAGACGGGGTAGGTCTTGCGTGTGCTAAACCACTTGCATATATTGTTGATTTAGATTATAAAGAGCGATGAACCCAAGACACTTCCCTCCACAACACCACTGGTTATTGGTCGAGGTGTAGAGTTTATAGAGTTAATCTTGGTTATTTGGTGTCTTTTCGTAAGAAAAGACTTGATCCATTGCAAAAGGGGATTTAAAATTCCAACTGACTTAAGTCTGTTGATTAGAAGATCATGAGGTACTTTATCAAAGGCGTTCTTAATATCGAAATATAGTATAACTACAAGTGGACCAATTAATTAAACGTGATTTGATGCATAATCGTTCGAGTTCATTGGCGCTTAAAATAAGCTTTTTATAAGTGAAGGTATGTGACGTCAAACTTCTCCTTGCGATTAAGGATGGTTTTCAATCTGTCCATCACTCTCAACAGGTTGGTTATACGAGAGTGACCTTTAATGAAACCATGCTTTTGGAAAGAAAAGAAGTTTATGGATAGTAAGTAGTCACGTAGACAGTCGCATATCAAGGACTGCATATTTTTGAGGGTAATGAGTTAAGTGCTACCGGCCCGTGGCTTGAATTATCGCTGCGTCGATTAGTGTGAATAAAGCCAGCTTCCAATTTTCTGGTAACCTGCCTCGGCTTAGCGAATGTGAGAATATCATGCTAAGCAGTTTTGCCAAGATTGAGTCTGGTTCCATAATAATAGGAGAATGAACCATATCCGGACCGGAAGTGTCATTTTTTAGGCGCTGCAGTTTCCGGTGCACCAAGTCGGCGCTCAGGTTCACTTCTGAGACTCCTGTTTAGTTGCAGGTAGAGCTCTCGTCAATATAGTTAGTATGAGTTGGTTGAAATTTCCAAAAGTATTTTTCTGTCAAAAGGTCGGTGGCGTCGTTATCGTTGTTGCTTGGACCATTAGAACCTAGGAGTTAAGAAACCCCGGCTATGGCTTATCGAAGATAGGCTGTACGACGGAATAAACATTTCGGACTGGAGACAAATTTATCTATTAACTTCACCTGATAGTGAATACTGTCTTCTCTTAGTGTCTTTGTGCATTGGTTCTGTATTATATTGATTTGCCTGTACGCGCTGTTGTTACTAGTTCGCTTGTATTCCTCCCTGTAGTGTCTTTTGCGGCTTAGCAAGTGCAGAGTACGATTCTTGATGACTGTAGGTTATTTGTAGATTTTAGGGACCATTTGAGGAAAAGACTGTCTTGTAGCACATAAGATCATGTACAGTAAGGAACCCCAATGAGCATACACATCAAGTTGTGAATGAACTTCCCAATCCACCTGTTGTAGATTGTCCTGTAAAACAGAAATATCCAACCGTTTGATATTTCAACGCCGGCTATTGGTAGGATGGCTTGGCTCACTTTTGCCGATAAGACTAGAGGCTGTGACGGTGTGATCACTTCAACCCAATGGAACCAAGCGTGAAAGGTTGTCAACCAGGAATTCTTCATTTGTGAGTAGGCAGACTAAGAGCGACAGCGTCTGACTGTTTCTCCAACGAGTTGCAGACTTGAAATTTTCGAATAATCCCTGATATTTTACTGAGGTTCAATGAGGTTGTCACTTCCTATGTAGGTATTTTTAACGATGGTGACTTTAGAATGATTAAAGTCTCCTAGAATCATGATATGAGTGAGTCCGAAACGAATAAGGCTAAATAATCCTTCCAGTATACGTTTGTCAATCTGGGTGTCAGCAATGGGCTTCCATTATATGACTTTCACTGGACACCTGGAGGTGTTAGACAGTTAAACCAAGGCCCATACAAAAGCATGAATCCTTGGGTGTAAACTTGATATCCTATCAAGCAAAATTGCAAGTACAGGGCTACAGTAAAATGTTCAGCCGTCGTAATGAAGAAGGCATTTACGTCCAGAAATCTCAAATAAAGACACTGCACTCAATCTACAGAAAAACCAGTTTTAAACTCCGAATACTCCTGAGGGTTATAACATATTTCTGAAAGTTGACAGTATAGCAATATATAGGTTAGATAATTTTCATAAATATATTGTAAATATCTCCTCTTTCTATACGTCGCTGTATATGTAGTCATATCTATACTTATTGCTCGGTTGTATCAGTTTTAGGTGGACTTCACACGTAGTTCACTTATGCCTCTGTAGCAGTAAATAAATCCCGAACTGACTAATTCTGTAAGTCTTCAATATTGACGCTAACCTCACTAACTTTGCTGGACACATCCCAGATGAAGGCACACGGTCACACACCGCGCCAGCTTAGATCAAGCGCTTGTCGACATATCGATAGCTTTCCAAGAATATATTCAGACCCCTTCATTTCTGACTTTTGATTTGATTGAGTTGGTATATTTCGATTATAAAGGTGTTAGGCATAAAAGCGTTGTAAAACCCCTGATACTTGTGACATTTTTGCAGCAATCCCACTTCCTTGAAAAGATTCATGACAAAAACACCTGGACTTGAAGAAATTGCTTGGTTTACAACGGCTTTTTACAACTTAAACAATTCAAAAAAATCATAGTGATTTGTAGGACCTTAAAGGTTATAATTAAAGAAAAACTGTAAGAATACACTTTAAACATGTCTGTACATTTTCGGTGATTGACAAAATTAATAACAGTCGATACATGAAGGATGTTATTTGAGATTTCGTTTTGGTAAGTCATCACAAATAGAGTCCAACTAGTCGACAAATACTTAGCTGCATCAATGGAGCTGAGGGTGTGATGAAATGAATAGGTTCATAAATGTTTCTGGTGATATAACCCAATAGTTCCACTCAGCGGATGACTGATTACACAATGGATAATTCTGGAATCACCAGGTTTTGTTTCAGTTTCCGATTTAGGCTTATATCACCTTTGAAATTATAAATTCCCATATTGTTATTTAGAACAACATATATGATCGAACAAAATTGTTTTCCATATGATACTCATCAGGCTTCACTGTAGTATACAGTAATATATATATATGCATATACAAAATGATTAAGCCAATCAAGGTAGCTTGTAATAAAGTGATGACTGTGGAATGGATTACGTAAATTAGCATATTAACAGAGTACGAATTGATTGTATGATGACAGGTGTATTAGTTGCAATAATAATAAAAAATGCTTATATGCATGTTTCATAATGAGAATTAGGTCAGTGTTTTGAAAAAAATATAGGTGTTGCAATAAGATTCATAAAACCTATTAGACCACTTAACAAAAGGCGTTTTGATAATTGAATTGACTATTAACTCTATATTTAGGAAAAATTAGATGAGAGTTAGTGAAAAAGTTAAACGAGCGGAGCATGAAATTTAATAAATAAAACCATTTATAAGGTCAAAGAAGAGATGTGTTACAAAGTCTTGTGAATACGAAGACTTGGAATGTCTTCTCGAATTCCTATGGCTTCTATTATGTGTAAGAGACGAGACCGAACCACATAATGAAGACCAGTAGGGATACGATAAAACACTATGAATGACTTATTCCCATCTACTGCTTGACTGCTGTCGATAGAACAGAGCTGCGTATTGTTTCGAGGACACTTTCCTAACCGCGAAGAAAGGTGTTCACTAACCCGTTTGATCGGTTGCCTAGTTGTGCGCCCAGTATAGCTTTCTCCACAGGAGAAGCTGAATTTGTAGATAGGCATAGATGTATCAGAACCAGGTAACTTATCCTTTAGTTGAAGAATCACCACAGATCTGGTCGAGTGCAAAGGTCACCTACATTAAACGTACCATCACTGCTCTAGTCAGTCCATCCCGTAGAACATCACCAGTTATATCATTGTTGAACTGCATCTTCAGAAATAGGTGTCTTGCTAGCCGTTCATGTCGCTACTTTCCTGTTTATCACATGCAAGTGGTTCTTTGGAAAGCCTTGTGGATAGCTCATTTCAATCAACACAGCTTTAGTTCCTCGTTCACTGTATCGTCAGAGTATATCTTCCTAGCTCTATTTCCAAGACATCCAACTAGGTTACGCTATAATTAATTGGTACAAGGCCTAAGAGATGTGTGATTACTGAAAGTTTATTGTTAAGTAGCCGTTATAGATCTTATTTTCCGATTTTCTGATCAATGAAAATAAAGGTATTATTAATTTAACATCAATGAAAGTCAAGCTTATTAATAACCTCTTTGGGAAATCCGTTTACTGGTTTTACGAGGGAAAAAAATCAAAACCCATCGCTATTCAATCAGTTTGTCCATAATATGTGTTGAAGAAAACAAGATGAACCCTAAGTGTACATTTTAAAAGTAATTCTTTGGAAATAACCTTAGAAATTTCTATATTGATCTGTTTTTCAAGTAGTTATTGACACTCAATGTCAATAGTCTCAGTTAACAATACATTTATGAACAAGGAAGCATACCACCCGTTTACCCTTTAAGTTTATATGTCCCACTTTGGAAGTGAATTCCAAGACGCTCTTACACTTCTCTTGACGACTAGTTTGTGTAAGGGATCTATGATTCGTACTAACTTTTCAATATTATGGTATGGCGAATTATGCATATCTATATATCAATATAAATATTACTGTATACTAGAGCAAATTATGATGAGGATTTAATGTGAAACAATATTTTTTGCTTATATATGTTTTTTCCAACTCTGCAAGCTTGTCGCAAAGGTATTGGACATGATATCAACCCTCAATTTTCAGTTCGTACGTTACTTCATATATATTTCTTCGTATGAGTTCGGGTAAATGCACCATCTTTTGTGCATGATTTTTTAACAGGACCTAAAACCCTGAAAAGAAAGCCTGATGAATCTGTTAGTGATCAGGTCCCAGTTAAAGTAATTGAAAAATCAAGTGAGGGTTCTCGACGTCCTGCGATTATAAGTCCTATCAAATTAAATGTACCCACACAGGTTGGATATTGTTAATAATGTCGTGTAGATTACCTCTAAAGGATTTTACACCTGAAATCCCTAAAAAGGTAGACAGCAAGGTCCGTGAAGTCTTCAACTCAGATGAGGAAGTGAGTTATGTCTTAGATCTCAAAGTATACTCGTCTACAGAGTGAGGAAGAGGAAATTCCAACGGAAGCCAGAATACGAATGCGAAATTTAGGAAGGTATTTATGGACGTTTTTATCCGTAGGCGTTTCTATATATTTACATATTCAGTAAACCATTTGAAACTTCGAAATGTTGTATAGATAATCATGTCACTATTCACCCAACGTTATCATATAGTTAGTCATCATACTAATCTAATGCTAACAGAGACTTTTACGACGTGTGGCCGTCTGCTTCTATCTAGTTTCATTAACGCTAACCTTAAACTACTTCCTTACAGAAACTAAGATCTCATGATGTCATGCTTTCATTAAAAATTTTATGTTCAAGTATCCAGTCTGTGTAGGTACGCTAATAAGTGCATTTCTATACTGAACTCTCTAGTCTGTGGCTAATATGTTCATATTTAGTCATTCCGACACACTTGATGGTTGAATCGTTTACAATATTACAACCTCAATGTAGTGAGGGTCTTTTAGATACTTCGTTGGTAATTTCTCCAAATACTTATTCAGGTCAAAATCCGATAATGAGTGGTATAGGTTAATAATTTAACGCGAGCAATTAAATACTAAATGTGGTCGCCATTTTGGTTCTCAATATTTCTTCAATCGACAATACCTGGCTTGTTTTCGAAGGTTATTCCCTGTAGTATGATAGGGAGGCTGATTTAATCACAATTTACCTCATAATTAAATTCCTCTTCAGATTATATGCTCTGGAATTTATTCGCTTTAAACCTCAGAAATTTCCAGTAGTTTCTCAATATTTTTATACACATAGTTCCCTTTCTTATTTTGAAATGAGTATGAAAAAAGATTGTAGCCGAATAACACAAATTCATTTTATTTAGTTAGTTCTCATCAGCTGCTTACAACCTGTGATATTTGAAAGTCATAATTACAAAATGGGCTTAAATTACTTACGTGAGAGATTTTATTTGGAAGTTATTTTGAAGACACATCAGTTATAGTATAGGAAGTGTGTGAATAAATTTAATAGACTGAATATCGGAAATATATACCGTATGTAAAAGAAACTTCTACAATATTGATTGTGACAACAGTTCAAAAGGCCAGAAACAAGCTATTACACAATGAGTAAACGCTGATGAGAATAAAACAAGTAAAGCTACGTTAATAAGATCAATCTGGAAGTTAGTTGAAATAGAAAACCAAATAATGTAATGAATGCAAGGAAGAGTTTTAAAAAAGTTTAAGATGCAACAAAGGAATATTTGCCATCAAGACAAGGAGAGATTAGCAACCATCACCTTTTGAACACATAAATCAGGCTATTGACGCCTGATAGCAATGGCTTCAGCAAACGTCAAAAGACTGGTGTTTGCTGATTTATGATTAAGGTTAGGAATTATATTTAAGGTTTTCGTCACGAACTGACATCAGCTATAATGCCAAAACTTTTTTCCAAATGAGTGAGTAGATTTCGCACCAAAATCCGAGACCTGTTAACTTACACCTGATAGGCTTGTTCATATAATATAGTCCTGCCGCCAGTTTTAATTTCATTGTTCAAGTTTCTTAATTTATCTAGATTCATTGAAATGTTTCAACCAATTTGAACAATTCAGGATACTTATTTGATTTATTAAATTTATTTCATTCGTTCGAGTTTTCATGATCATATTGCAATACTAGACTATAAGTTTAGAAAAAGATATGTAATAATTAACGAGCTCTACGCCACGGATTATAGATTTCGCTCGATTTCCCTACTTTACAGATGATTATGTATGAATATAAAAATAACAGGATTGGATTGAACACATAAAACATTTATTTATTTATTTTAACACATAGATATTGGTACAAGGAGGCACCAAATACATATGCGCCACACAAATCTCATTCGATATTTGTGGGAGCTGTGATACATTTATGGCACCTACAAGTGCATATCGAGAATACAAAAGCATACAGATAACAGAAAATCATTCACTTGTTAACATTAGATAGTGATTTCTCGGTAAAATTATAAAATTAAATATAAGCTCGAGATATTAACAAATGCCCATGTATGTCCAAGTATGTGCTCATTTTGAGTGGCCCATTAAAGAATTCTTTAAAACGAAACCGACAATTAACAATTTGTCTTGTAATGGGTTTTTTTCGGTATCAACAGAGTCTAATTATATGTGCACAATTTACAATTGTAAAACATACTATCAAATAAGTACTGTTATATAAGATAATAGTGTCTAAGTTTGCCAACGTCAGAAATTTTTAATATCTACAACTGAATAGTATAATTTGATCTCTCAGCTTTCCCCAACATAATCTTTGACGTTTAAATTGGTTGCATAATTTTCGAGAATCATCGATGTAATTAATTCAGTTAACATAAATCAAAGCTATGTGGTAGCTCAAACATCAGTACAGAGTAAATGTTGCCGGTATAATATACTTTAAACTGTTGGACAGTATCGTTTATTACCTAAAAAATCATAGTTACCATGTGAGATTTCAATAGACAACTTGATATTTATCTGACGTGTTATTTTACTACCAAAACTAAACAGCAGAATTCTGATCTGCCTGAACCTAGGCAATTTTCATTGTTCATGCGTTGAAGTTACTTTGAACAATGTTACTTGCTTCAGTGGTCAAAAACTGTGTAGTAAATTAGTTTGAAGCGTATAGTAGATTGTATCTAGTCAAAAGGAATGTGAAATGATAAGTCTTTTAGAGACTAAATAATGTAGCTCACTTTGAATCTACTTCAACTGGAAATGTTGAGTTTAAATTTTACATATCGATATTTATCTTATTTGTTTTCCTTGAGGATCAACTCACTTCGCTTATTTAACACAATCTCACTCAATCTAACCAAAGTAAAACAACTTTATAATATCAGAAGGGGTTTTGTGGAGATTTTAGAAATTTCACTGGTTGAGATCATGAGTCATTTGAAATTAGACCACCATGGAAAACCTGGATGGCCGTTTCGTCCTATTGTTGGACCCCTCAGCAGTGCGCATCCACGACCCCACCTCGCGGGAATCGAACGCAGGACCTATCAGTCTCGCGCCAGGCGCTTAACCAACTAGACCACTGAGCCGGCATCCAACGGTGTCAATGTCTAACTTCAACTAATACACGAAACATCCACCATTGTCATCAGTGAGTTACTACCTCACAACTGACCCGGTTGAACTCCACTGGTCACTGCGCGAGACCGATAGGTCCTGAGTTCTACTCCCGTGAGGCGGGGTCATGGATGCGCACTGCCGAGGAGTCGAACAGTAGGACGAAACGGTCGTCCAGTGCTTCCAGGTTTTCCATGGTGGTCTAGCTTCAATTGACTCATGATGTCAACTGTTGAAACTTTACAATACGTAAATCGTAGGTATATAAAACACCTATGATTGTATTAATGACACTACTGACTGATGGGAATCAACATATAGGATTACTCTTTTAATGAAAATAACTTATAAAACTCTTGATAAACATACGATATGATAATACAAACTCGATTAGATTTCAAGTGATATATTAAACTGGTCTTTATTTTCTTGTTTTAGGTACACTCCCACATCTTGCGGTCCCAATTCTTTTGGAAAAGGAAGATTTGGTTTTGTTGATCGTAGAGCATTACTTAATAAACAAACAGAAGCATTGAATGAAGCAGTTTCAGGAGAGAATGAACGTTAGGTATCATATTACTTAAACAATCAAAACTACAATATATCAAGCAAAAAAATCACCACCACTACTAACAAAATCGTTTCCAAGTATTTATTCACCTTTGATTGTGTGTATAAAAAGAAATGTTAATGATAATTGTAATTATGTTTAATTTTCTTTATTCTCAACAACAAAAACAAAACAAAACTCAATGAATATTTATATCAGATTTATTTTATACTTGTTTTTATTTTTATATCATGTCGATAATGACTGAGTAAAGCTAAAAATAGAGCAGCAGATACACGTGCATTAAGATCAGCATTTTCAACATCATGATAAGAAGGAACATCTCCCCATCGATTAACCTAAGATACAACAACAAAACAATACAAATCAATAATATTCACTTGAAGATGAATAAAAGTAACTTGGTATATATGTACAAGCTGTAGATATATAAGATTGAGATTAGATGGTGATTGGAGGTAGTCGACAGGAAACCCTGGACCCGAGTTTCGTGCTACTTGGCACTCGTCAGCAAGGTGTACCTGTAATCTTGAGGGACTTGGTGCTCCCTGGCGGAACCGATCTCATGTCACCCAGCTTCACAGTCAGAGACGTTACCACTGAGCTATCCGAGCCGCGACCGACCTCCTGTGGGACTGAGATGTAATCACAATTGATTGATCACTGGGTGGCGATCAATGTCATGTGTGTCTAGTCTTTATTAATGCAGATCAAATACTATCGACCTCAATATATAGTGCCCGCAGTGTCGAGTCACCTAGACTGGTGGCCACATTGCAACATGATCGATAGCATTCGATCTGCACCAATAAGGACTAGACACACATGATATTGATCGCAACCCAGTGATCAATCAATTGTGATATATAAGATTATTAGCCAAAGTCTTCTTAATGAAATATAAACTAGTTGACTAAACTTTGATAAGTTGAAAGAATGAGTATTGCAGTGTGCATTGATTAGTCTTAGTTTAAAGATAAGCGCCAGATTAAAAGGTGGATCATAGTATAGGAGTTCCTCTTTACAACATTTAGACTTCAGTATACAATTTTTCTTACATATTATGAATAGTCAAATCTTATCTATAATTTGAATCCAAGGCATTGTTGCTCAGATTGAACTGAGTAGTGTTAAAAATATGGAATCTCCGTGTACAACTTGGGAAAAAATCAATATCGTCTTGAGATGAATGTAAGGTTAGCTGACGATACATTCTCTGTGGATCTTCAAACCATTTTTACTGTGATTTGTGTTCTACGATAATTGTTCAGTCTATACAGTTTAATGCCCTGGTACGGCCGAAAGTGGGGTGAGTCCGCCCTCCCTCTCGAAATACTCTCACACGACCGCGCGTATACAGCCTCTGCCAGGGAAGTCCTACTCATTGCCTTCTCGTGGCGGGGGTGTTGTTTACGAAAATGAGAGGACGAAAAGCGAATGTCCGGCGCTTTAACCGGATCACAAACCAATAACCGTATTCAATATATAACTGATAAACTTAAATGTATTTTTATTCCCTTTGGGTTCTGGACCAATAAAACTTGGATTATGAGACGGGACTTTTCACTCTAATTAGAGCAGAAGGGAAGATGATAGTTATCTCGTTCACTACAATGAAGTCGCATTGTCGGAATAGTAGCTTAGCACACGACATATCAATGGAGTAAGCCACAGTTAGCATAGAGTCTCATATCACATCAGGACGATGAGATTCAATTTACAATATAAAGATAACAAAGCAGCCGAAATAATTGCAGTGCCAATGACAGTGAGGAAGATTACAAGCTGAGAATATGAAGTGAGAAAGTACATATGAGGGGATGCTTTGGCTGAAGATCTAGGGAAGTATGAAGAGTGAATTTATCTGTGTCATGTAATAAATTTTCAGCCATATCACACATCATTCTTAACCAATTGTTAGGATAATTTAGCGAATTCTGATCAGGTAGTCTGTACGTATCAATATGACTCGAGCCAACTGTCAATGACTTGATAGACTGATGCCAATTATTGGTTTGGATGACTTTAACTTTCCACCCATTCTTATACCAGCAAACCATCACGTTGAAGTAGGCGGTGGTTCAGCATAGTAGTAGTATACATGTCCTAACAATCTAAGTGAATAAATATCCTGAAATCTCAAATAGATTTAGCATCCTGCATTTACAATACAATAAATTAGCTAGTAGTGATGAATAATTGGATTTAGCGTAGAGTGTGGATACTAGGCGTTGCTAGCCAGATTATTATGTGGAAATGCAAAATGTTACTTAAGAACTGGTATGGGTCATCTCCTGGACTAATAATATGAAATGAAGTTGTTGAATGTTTTACTTTGCTTGGAAATCTCATCAGCCCTAGTGGGTTGATATCTGACGAAATATTGACACGGATTTAGAAAGCGCAGTTACCCCTAAAAACTTGTAGCGTAAATGAAATGTTTGTCTAACATTCAAACGGCATATGAACTGCGCAGCACTTTGACCTGTTGTACTTTATAGCTGTGAAGAAAACATATATGGAATATCTGGTTTTTAATCATAGATGTTCTCAAAGGGTTGTCCGCACTTCGTGGAACCATCTAGTAAGGAATATTGATGCTAGGCATAGGGAGCGAACTTGCCGATAAAATTTTGAATATTCATTAACCGAGATAGTTGAGATATGTGTTACATATGACGAACCATTGCCTATCTCGGCGTGCAATGACGTCTCATGTAGGAGCAGACTTGAAGAAAGCAAATGACGCCCAAACCAAGACTTGGCATTATTCCATGAACTCATTGACTATATTTCAGAGCCATATAAGTAGATGCAGACTATCTGGATGGAATTAGCGTAATAACCACGATTAGAGGGTTGGAAACTTTGGTTGATATGACTCAGAATTGTCCACAATAGTGTGGATGCTTTAACTTATCAACCTTCAATTTTTTCATTCCCACTGTCTTTTCATACCATGTTTTCAATGCTGAATCTCTTTCAACATTCCAATTTCTTTGTTACATATTTTGTTAATTTCATCTCGTCATCCTAATGTGGTACGGAAAGGTGGAGTTAACCCATATATATATATATATATATATATATATATATATATATATATATATATATAGTTGGATATTTGAATACTGAAACTTTACAGTGATGTAATCTAATTAAAACTAACCTGAAATAACATTTCTATTTGACTTAATTCAACAGCTTTTGCAACTGAACAAAATCCATCCAGCATAGCTAATGTAAGATAAACTGATTTCAAGTTTTCAACACATGATTTTATGCCTATTATTTTTAAGACAATACAAACGTATACAAAGAAAGAAATGTGATTATGTGAAATATGAAAAATAATCTTTGAAAACACACGCTTATTGTAGTTTACCTAAAGTTAATCTGGGCATCACTGTGCTCATATAATGTTAAAACTCTGGATGTGTTTGAAATTAACAGAGACCTCTAATTCATCGGTAAATTAGTTATCTAATAACACACTTTATTATAAATGTTATATGAGTTCAGAAAGTTTGGTTGGCTATGTCAAATAACACTACTTGTAGCATAGGTGAGATGTTTGTTTCCCAACCAGAAGGGGAGTATTCGGCACAGCGATTTGCTCTGTCATACTTTATCGTTCAAAACGTGGTCTATGGAAGAAGGAAACACAGTTAGGCTGTGAGCACTTGATCATGAGTGTTTTCCAATGATTATTCACCAATCGCAGAATGACTGAGTGAGCAATCCTGAGGTTCGACATAGAATGCTAGCAAAGATGGAGGCTGTGAATCTTCATTGACTGGGGTGACTAAGACATGTGTTATGTATGTACAACCGTTGCCTACCTCAAGATGCAATGCTGGCCAATATATGTGCAGGCTCAAAGAAAACTAGAGGGGGTGTTAAACTAAGAATTAGGGTCAGTCGATGAATTCATTTGTTTGAGCCATGTATATAGGTGAAGACTACCGGGTTGTGGTCAGTGTCTTTATACACTGAGTGATGTAGTTTAGAATAGATTATAGTGGCTTGATAACTCTACTCTTTATCTTTCCCTATATACTGAGGTTCAGAATTCTTTCACACACTTTTTAATTCTGTCACTTCGAAACACTGTCAAAATTCAATTTTTTCTACTACAATTGTTATTATATTATTTTGACTGGTTTGCTAATCTCACCTCTTCGACCTGATGTGATACGGGAACATGCACTAAAGCACACATAAGCCAGGCTCTGTGTTGATTATGATTGACCGATAATACATTGACCCGAAATCTAATTGGAGAATAAGTGTGACATGTTCATAACAAGCGTATCTATTGAGGCACGCTGATGTAGAATAGTAAGAAATCAGATAACATCGATTCCAAACGTTTTATCAAACGCAAATATGGATTTATTCTTACTAAAATAAATGATAACCTAGGTACGAATCCACTAAGCAATATCTGTTCCTTGAAAATTTTAGGTAAACCTTGCCACCGAGTGAAAACTAGTTTGGAACTTAGATCCATGATTTTCTGCCAACTACAATCAAGAGAAATTAGACAGTGTGAAAACTCCTTAAATTTTATTTTAAAGAAAAAGTGAAAAAGCGTGTTTAGACACGATGATTGATTGGTATATGTCACGAAAACAAACACAAGATCACCGTAATCGATGTCAACTAGTTCATGAAATGCACACAAACAAGAATTTAACGTACAAGTTAGATTTTTACATTATTTCTATAGTATTTGTTTAATAATCACAGAATAGAAACAATTTTGTCAACAAATTCACGGATTGATCTTACTGTCTTCGTTTGGTTCAGTTGTCTTATGCTTTCTCCCAACCTACTCCTACACAAGCCATTATCACTTGTCGAGGTAGTCGGTGGATGGGCATACATAATACACTAAATCAATAAAGATTCACTACCTTGTCGATTGATTTGCCATAACTTACCTTGTACTCTGTATCTAACCTTAAAATTGCTAAATCAGTGGTCCTAAAATATACAGGCAATTGTTTTAAGATACCTATAATCGAATACCAGTAACCTAAAAATATTTTTTACTTTCAAAGACCATGTTCCACAATTATAAAGTAGAGGAGAGCGAACTAGTAGGCAGAAAACTCGTTCTTTAGTTAGAAAAGTCAACTGAGTTTTCTGGATTCATGTTGAGATTTCGTCAAGCACCAACCCATTAGGACTGGTGAAGTATCCTATATTAAAATAAAAATCTACATTACTTACGCATACACAGACATGATTCGATGGATTTTTTGGAAATGAACTTCAGTAGCTAAGTTTACAATTTTACATAGTCAACTTTGAACGATAAATTTTGTGTATACCAACTGATGATAATATTAACCGTCTACTGTAAATAAAAAGGGTTCAACTGTGTATCATAGTAATTGTAAGCCTAGTGTTTCAATAGCTAAATCATTACCGACATAAAAAATGATAGAGGTTGAGGAAATACACTACAGTGTTATATCTGGACGAAGAATAAGTGAATAGCCACCGTTAGGATCTACTTATGGACTACTATTATATATATTCTCATTGTATAACCATTAAATAACTGTGTTATGTGTACATTCATATCGTTCTTATTATAACCTTCCATTTGACCTATTAACTACTATTATACGATTTACTGTTTTTGAATTACTCCTAATTTATTAGTTACAGTCTATCACACTCACAGCTACTTGCGGCTGAATCTTGTATAATTGTTATTTCCTATTTTATGGTATGATGAGGTCTGCGTATTTCTGAAATACATGACTGATATAGCGTAGTCTGATGTTGGTGTTCTGAACTGAACCGATTGGGTTAAGCGAGAAGCTACTATCTTGGAGGACCAATAAAACTCAGAGTTGATTCTAGGCTGCTCGTACTGGTCTATGCGTCATTGGTCTGGTCAATATGCCGGTTTTCTAATTGGTGATTTAGTCATGTGATCATTAACAGGCCATCAGGACATAACAGAAATTGTTCTTTCTATTAACACTGAGATTTTGTCAACACCTATCATTATCAAAGAACTAATTCTCTGCACACCTGTATTCCCGATGATTGTCAGCACTAGTATTACGCATGAAAAAAGTCTGAGGTAAAAGATGGAGGTCGGTAATGAAAACAGAAAAAAAAGTAAAGTGAAGGGATTTGAGTTAGAACGCAGTGATCTCAAAGGCTGTTAGATCATTCCGAAGGAAGTATCCTTCTTCTTAAGGGAACTGGGCTACGAGTGACACTGATGATCTGGGATCCTTATTCAAAGGCCTAAGAGATAACCGTTTCAGGCCGTCTATAGGTAACGTTTTGCGAAGTTTTTAGTGTTAACACTGTACTTTGAAGAACTTGCATCTGGCAATCGAAACTCGAGAAGGCGAGGTGTATTATTTTCAGGGTGGGTCATTTCTAATCTTCCCCTTCGTCATGAGAAAGAATTATTATTGTAGGTGCTTGTGGCTTAAAGGAAATATTTTATTGTTATCACACCCCAGAACAGCCTCAAGTGGTTGCTGGAAAGTGTTCCCGAGATGATGTTCAAGCTCGGCCACAATGTCGAGGTAACAGCTACAACCATAAGCCATAATATATATATATTAGAAAGAAATTCATGAGATTATTGACATCATTGATAACTTACCAGTAAGACCCCATATATTATAACTGTTAAAATAACGTGTTAATTTCTCTTTATCCAAAGGAGATAGTTTAGCCAATGAAGTCATACTATCAGTTATGACTGGTTTAATTTGATAATGTTTGTTAACCCAATTAATGATAGGATCCCATGAAAGAGATTGCACTTTAACCAAATCATCTGGTTCTTGACATCTGAAACTAACGATGTTTATTTGATGAACAAAACAAAGCAATTAAATATGACCACTTTAATAAGTGATGAATACACTGGTGTAACAGTGAAAGGTGAATAGGAATTCCAGAACTATAATATGTGTACGAAATAATCGAAAATTTTTCTTAGGTATGGAGAATAAAACTGAAGATACTTGTTATTACATAACATGTATCAACTATTTCACCTTAGACCATTTGATATGTGATATGCACTCACAACCCCTAGCCCACTCTCATCAAAGGTTGTGCCGTTAAGACATTAAGAATATTGCCCAGTTGTTTCCGATTTTTAACAGTTCATTAAGCTAATATTAGTTTGTGATGAAAAAATCATCTATACATGGAACTAACCTCAATAAAATGTCCAGTCAAATAAAGTTAGGTATAGGGTTGTGTAGATTGTTGGATTTTGAGGTTTTACATTAAGAACTATTAACCATTAAGAGAAAGGGAGGACTGGACAGATGTTTCACCATAGTACAAGAGTTTAACAATGAGTACCCAAGACCCCACTACAAATCAGAATCAGGATCTTCAGATCTCGCAGTGAGCACTAAACCTTCAAAACACTGAGTTAGCATCCAATTAGTTGGCTTGCATTTTCATCTCCATATGATTTGAGATATCAGAAGACCATTATTTATTCTTATTGGTGATATTTGTCATCGTTATTATCCAACGATAATTGAGGCTCGAAGAGATGATTAGAGATTTTGGGGAGATAAAAAAGACAGTTCGACTGCCTTATGATAGTGACTGAATAGATGAGGAGCAACTGTTTGAATTAAGATGGACGAAACAACAACTTCCCAGTAAAAAGAGTGCATACTGATTTAAGGATAGGTTCAAAACAGATGGCACTTGAATGAGTTCAGGAAAAAGTATTCAATATTCTTTATGCTCGAGCTTAGGAGACGACACCAAGCATCTTTGACTAATTCATTAGGCGTTGAATACTGTAAAGATGCAAACCCATGGTAGCTGGTGTCTAGAATCGGTGACTATGCTGTTCGTTCCCTCAGGATCCTGAACCCTAAGTATTCTGTTTTACAACCTTGTTAGATGAACCATCCGTATTTACCAATCTGGTTTAAGTGCCAGATGTCTGCTTTTGTCCTTACTTTTGTGTAGAAAATTTGCCATGTAAGGGCAGTATGTGGAAATTATTAGACAGGCAATAAATGAATGGGTGTACGAAAGCATTTTGAGGAAGGAAGTACTTTCCTTACCGTTCCTCATACCATGGCATTTAGGGACAACTTCATAATTACATCTTGTGAGAGGGTATATTCATACTGATTTCCATAAGAATTGAACATAATTCAGGTTGTTTTTAAACTGAACAGAACAGCCCAATCTTGTTAGCAAACCATACAGGTACCAGGAACATTGGTAGACTTAATTTTTTAAAATAAACAATCAGTATATTTATTCCATCAACGCATAGACATCATTTGAAAGAGCGGCGGCCTGCTTGAGCATCTGGGCTACCTGTTCCTGCCATCTAGATATTTCAACAAGTTTTCTATTGTTGCTTGTTTTAATATATCATTATGTGTATTAATCGCATAACCTATTCTGCTGCGTTTCTGAAAAGTGTACAACCTTTCGTTGTCAAAGTTACAGAAAACTCAATACGAGACAATATGGTTGCTGGCAATATACAACGAAAAGAATGTACATTATTCAGATGTTCATTTACTGAACTGCTAACATCTAACTGGCGATCCCTCAATATTTATCGCCAGGACCGACCAAGAAGAAAGAAACGGAAACTTGTTGAAATACTTTGCGCTGAGAATTCTATATTGTACCAAAATTATAATATTGAATAAAGCTGATAATAATAATATATAATTAAAGAAACTACATATTTACCAGATTGTATCAGTATCAGCATACTGCATGATAGTACTGACTAGGATATCATGTTGATCAGCTGGAGTATCCAAAGCTCGATTGCACAATGTTGTCTACATATATTCATGTTAAATAGAGAACAGATATTTTTTCACAGAAAAAAATCTATTAATTTTCGTTATGATTTAATCAGTGATAAAAATGATTCAAAGCTGTATCAACAGAGCATTTAATGAACACTGACGTAACATGCTTCATAAGTAATCGAGTAAATTCTCTAACTTAAGATAAACAACTTTTACTATCAAGACAATAATCGAGTTGTTAAATATTGGTATCCAACTCATTGAAATGATTAAATTTGTTGCATTTTTATGAAACTTGAAACTTATGAGCTGAGAATATTCAGCGATTTTACGTGTTCGACCATCAATGTCTCCGAAAAAAATTTCTTGTACAAGCTATTTAAAAAAATGTGGTCTTAAAAAGTACGTTGGAATACCAGCCAAGATGGGATGGATTTGGTTTACACGTATATTTTAATAAGCTCCCAAAATAGGAGATAAATACGTTGGATTAGACTAGTTAGTCAGCCATGAATCCCTGGATGAAATACTAGTTATCATCCAACTGAGTAGTTTGAGATTTTGTTAGACATGACAGAGATTAGTACACGTTGACGATTCTTCAATGGATTTTTGTTGCGTTCCTCACATAAATCTAAACAAATAAAAAACATATTATTTATATTCCTACTGAAACTGTATCGTAGAGATAAATTTCTGTCTTTTATTGCTTTACGATATTATAATTTCACTTTATATGAAGCTTTTCTTGACAAGCAGAGTCATCAACGTAGAACTTCGTACGTACGTACATCAGTTCAAGTTGCCATATCACATTAGCACACAGGTACAATTGTCGATTCAAATCCCATGGTGGTAGAGGTAGTGAAAATATAAGCAATAACCGGAAAGATTAGGGTTTGTTATTCAAGGAGTATAATCCAGTGAAATAAATTTGGAAAGAGAAAAAAGGAACATTAAGAATTCAGAAGATTAGAATTTGAGAGAACACAAAGAGTGAATGCACCTGCGCCATAGCAAACGATTTTGGGCCATGTCATTCAAGGTTTCTAATCATCGGTTGCCATCATCTCGCGGATCCCAACCGGGTAGTCTACACCTACCAACAGGGCTCAGTCCACTTGTCAGTGACTTCATGGATTTTTCTTGACAAGCGATAAAACCAATAATAATAATAATAATAATAATAATAATAATAATAATAATAATAATAATAATAACCATTAGTATTAGGCATAATATGACCGTTAACACTGTATTAAAAAGTCTTACCAAAGGCATAGCATATCGTTTTATAGTGTCAACCTGACTATCCCATTCATGTGCAACAGCGACAGCTAATGCTTGATTCGGTACGTGAAAATGAACTCCAGTTGGAGTCCGAAGTTTACGTTGATCGAGAAGAATTTGAAAAACTGGATGTTTATAATCTAAATAGTAGAGAATAACGATAAGTTAAACAAGCGAAAATCAATAAAATCATAGTGCATTCAAAGAATAGGAAATACTATAAACTAGAACATTCATATTAAATATGGAAGTGCAAAATAAATTTAAAAAGTCAAGATTTAAGTTAGGTAGGTATTTTGAGTTTATTAAAACTGTGACGATGTGATATGATGGACTAATTCATTTTTTATTGACAGATTGCGTACTGACTAGAAACTAGAGTTTGATAACTATATTGTACTTAGAGGAAAATTCACCCCCAAAATGAGTACTGTTGAGGTTACAGGTTGAACAGTACTCGAAGCTGGTAAATCAGTTGACGGGATTCGAAATATTGATCAACTGAGTTAGCTAGTACCCGCTTTATGCATGGCTAGCCATTGCTTAATCTGACGACGATGGTAAGGCAGTAAAGATATGCTAAAAGTTACAGGAGGCCAAACTCAAATATGGTACTAGCCTATTCGGTTAATGACTTTTGATTTGAGTCCTGTTAATAGATGAAAGCCACTTGGTCCGGGTATATGAAACGCTCGTGATTATCGATTGAAGATCTGAGGTAAAATTTTTCATAATCTGAGAAAGTAGCCCAAATAATTCACTCTATATTTTATTATCATATTATACTTTTACCCATAAATTCATTGCTTTTCAAAATATACTATCTATGTTCAGTATTTTATTACTGATGCTACTGCCATCCATCCACTTTACTATTGATTTTGTTAATATCACCATGTTATCCTGATATTTTTTGGTAACTTGAGCCAACGAATATTTATGATTAGTTCTGCGTTGATTGCAAATGACTAACTAGTCGGGAAAATTAATGCAAAAACACTGATGAAACTCAACAACACGTAGGACGAGTTAGTAAAATGAATGGATTTTTGAACTTACTTTCATGAGTTGACTGAAATACAGTCACATTCTTATAAAACTTCTTAGTTTGGGCTATATAGAAATATTATGCACATTTTAATGTACCGGAAAACAGACTTCTACGAGGACTGCGGAAACAATGTAAAGACGTAGACGAAATGAATTTTTTGCTAAACATTCAACTGAATCAAATGATAACTGGTGTTCACTGATACCAATTTATTAATTCTTGTAGGATAGTTGAGGGTTATAATGGATTTTGTACGCTGAATTTGTCTGAAACATTAGAAAGTAGCAAAGCAAGGTCACATTTAGAAACTACGTGTATAAAAATATATCGATGCTAATAAAAATGTATTTGATAGCTGATTGTATCGACTACCAAATATCCCCAAATACCCTGGTATGGTCAAGGGTAGGAGAATTAGCTCTCCCTCTCCAAACGCTCTCACATGGCCACGCGTATACAGCCACTGACAGGGAAGTCCTACTCACTGCTTACTCGCACCAAAGGTGTTGTTTACGAAACTGAGAGGACGAAAAGCGAGTGTCCGGTGCTTCAATCGTTCGTTGAATACGAAGGGTTTACCTAGAGGAGTTGGAAAACCATGATTCCAAACCATTAGTGCACATGCGATCCAGGATCCTGAGAGAACAAATGGCGTATGAATCATTTATTGATCACTGGCCACCATTAGACTGCATATTCTAACGTTGCTCCACTGCCTTATGGATTAGACTTTGAGGTCGAAGGCTTGGAGAGTGGCCTCTTGAGAAAACCTTCTGCCTCGCTCTGGGCACCTGGGCAGTATCACAGCCCATACACAAATCAAGTGACTTGTGTGACGCATATGTCGTTGGTGCCACTTGGTACTAATATTTATGTGTTCAAATAAATAAATGAAACGTATCAACTACAGTTCTAGCTTCTTCCGTTTCTAAAAGGAATACTGAGTTTTATGGTGCTAACTTTTGTAAAGTTCCAAAATGTTTAAACTCCCGCCTTGATTATTTTTTTACCTTTACAAATGTGATTTTAGTGGCTTTTATACCGCCAACCATTTTCCGATGATAAGACTAATTAGCATATGAGGAGATGCGATCACTTTATGACTGATTGTAACTGAATTAAGGATGATACAATCTGTTGGGTCTTTATGACTCCATGGATGAAATTTTAGTGACCACGCAACTTAACTGTTTACGACTATTGCAGAGACAGTTTACAACAAAAGTCGGTGGCAGATTTGGTTCATTTTAATATTGGTTTCATTATAAACAGTAGAAACGCATGTTACTAAATGGAAATCACGATAATGTTACAACGCAAACTATGTTGTTCCGACAATATTGCTCCTAACTCTATTTATTATTTATTTACCTATCCGCCAGGTACTTCCTTAAGGTAATCTTTTCGCCGCATGATTTGCATTAACTAGTACTATGTGGTACTGAGGGATTTTTATAAAGCATAAAATAAAATTTCCTAAAAATTCATACAATCAATTGACCACGTAAACAAATTGCTGATCATAATCTAATTCCTCCACTACATATTTTAAAGGCTAAAATAGTAGTTAGTTAAAACTAAAAAAACCAATATAATCATAGGTTAATTATTAACAGGATTTTGTTGTTGGAATTACTGACAGAATGCCTTATCATTAGGTAAGTTCAGAATGGAAAGAAAACATCTGAAATGCAGAACAATCCAAAAGACACGTTCCTTCGAAAAAAATAAACAATCTTTAGAGGGCTTGGACGGTTGTGAGCGGAATAGAAGCTTTCGTATCTAGTGGTAATGGGTCACTGATCCCTCTATTCAGCATCATTTAACAAATTGGTTTAATTGACACGAACAGTCCTAATGGTAAAATGACTAAGGGACTACTTTCAGTATATCTCAAAACAGTGTGACTGAAGTTTCATCATGTATACTCAGCTGTTTAAGATTTTCAATAGGTTTGTCTTTAATATCAAGTCACTTATTTGGTCTAGTGGATCTAATCAAAGTGAGATATTCGCACTTGGCTTTACAGTAGAAAGAAGAGTGATAGTTGACAGAGAAATTAACAACTGGTTAAATCTTCGCAACACAATTCGTCAGAGAATCCAAATATGTAAACAGGTTACGCGATAAGTGATATTGGATCTGAACAACCCTGTGTTGTTCGTCACCAAAAAGTATCCAAAATATAAGCTTTTATTGAAGGGACAAGTGTAACCAGGTGTAATATCAGGCGCAAAAATGTAGATATTTGTTTGTGGTACTTATACGGAAGTAGACGTATTCAATGAAAGTGGTTTACACATGCCCAATTAGTTTTTAGTATCATAAAGGGTCATTTAAGATACTCTCTACCAACACTATCGCCAGTATCAGCGCACAAACCCAGAGCATCGGGCGAAAAGCCGACCAAACCCCGTTAAAGTCCAGTAGCGCACCACGTTAAATTGATCAGGTATCAGTCCAACCTTGCCAGTGAAACTCAATATCAATATGATAAGTTGAAACAATGTAATCTTTAGTACATATATGCTGAATAAACATAGTTGCACATTCATTCTTTAGAACCATATCTAACTAGGCATGTGACTGACAAAAAACTTGATTCAATACTTTTGGTTAACTTGTCCACACTTGTGTTACTAATTCTAATGACTTCCAGTACCCAATGTATAAAACATTTGTCACGAGCTTTTACAAACCATTTGATTTTTTTACGCACGTTTCTTTTTTGTTCGGTACAGCTTCAGGTATATGGTTAAGTTCTATATGTTGTATTCTAACTACTCGTTCGCAGTAAAGACTTCGACAGCTCTTTAACCAGTAATAATTTTTATAATCGGAATATGCCTAACCAGACAAATTATAAGCCAGAAACGAAGGGGCTCATAGATATGTTTGTTAGGCTATCGATATATTGAGAAGTGCTTAATCTGAGCTGGTTAGCGGTTGTAGGAGATGTGAAGCAGGGCGTACCCATTGGTGATCTGGTGCGGATAAGTAACTGGACGCCTTCAGGTGTGCGTGTCTAGTAAAACGTATGCTGCCAGAATCATATATCAAAGACTTACAGAGCTACTGATTTTGGAAATTTGTTTACTGCTACAGAAATGTGGTGGTTATTTGTGGATATGTATATCTTATACCTCGGTGCGTGTGCTTTTTTCACTATCTTTGTGGACACGAAGAGCTATAAAATTACTAGACCTAACATTTAAATCCTTCTGATACTTCTTAATCTGGTCGTTTGTCAGTCTTTCTATCTGCTGACCGTACTACACTATTATATTGATCTCCACATATTTGATATATACTGACTAATTGATACTCTGGACAGTTTGTATTCATTTTGATGCAACACAGATCACATCAGTCTAATTCACTTTTGATTTATTTCACTGCCACACAATTGCTGGAAAATCTACTCCTAGTGTTAATTCAATTCTAGTATAGTAATTGTTGATTCTAGGTGCCAGTGTCGAAATAAACTTACCTCTATTCAAAATTTGAATCCCGTATTAATCTAATACGATTAGAATTTCAGTTCAGTTCTGTTCATCCAATTCAATAATAATCCGGTTGTTTACTACTACCGTACATGTTATCGAATGTAATTGTCGAAATATATACTCAAGAACGTTTGTATTCTAGTTTTTACTTAATTCACTTGTCCTCAGTGATAGATTATTGACATAATGAGTATAACAAGTAAACCGGTTGATCTTTTGTCTCTCGCCTCTTGGCAACAGGTAACACCAAATATTTCAGACATTCTCGGTGATTTTTATCTAGCCGTTTACCTAAGTAGTTCTTCTAGACCGATGTACACCGCTTTCAGGTAAAGTCCGAACACACGCGTTAGGCTGAAGTGGTTCAAGAATCTTCTCAGGAGTATATTAAGTGGAATCTTGATAAACTATTGAAGACATAGGACAGTATTTCATAATAATTCACTAGCACTCCACTTTAGCTCGTCTAATACATCCCGGTCCTCGCTTGTAAAAAAGATATTTTCTTTGTACTCATTCCTCGTTGGTCAAAAACAAACATACTGATTTTTTAATCTAATTACTATTTCTTTTTTGTTCATCTATCCTCTTCCATTCGTTACTATCTTCGGTGAATTATTGGTGCTTGCATCATGGTTTTCGGGAAATCTTTCAGTTTGTTAGCAATGCCTAATCTTTTGTTCAGGAGGAATTACATTATGTAAATAACAGTTCAGAATTCCCACCACCAAATGTATGTTTCCCAGCCCTGTTTTTCTGATTATTTCAAGATTTTCAACTTATAATTTTCATCTTTATTCAGGCGCCAATTTATAGCTTCATGTTTTTAGGTTACCCATAATGCCACAGCTAGGAAAGACATCTTCGAAGTGCAACAAAGTATGTTAGGTAACTGCTGAATTTGAGTTAATTAGGCTCAAAATGTAGAGTTTCTCGCACATCAGTTGTGGATGCTTGATATTATACTTCTTGTGACTCGTTGTTAATATCTGCTCAAAGACTAGGATGAATCATGTAAGTGCGTATTAGTACTTGAAATTGTAACTGTTTTACCTCCAAAATACAGGGATTTAATGAATATATGACTTCACTTAAAGTCAAATAACACACGAAAGATACAGGAAGGTTCTATGGGTATTAAATAAAATGTTCTGTCTGAAATAAAGCATTTGCGAGTAAAGTGTAACACGAAACTTTCATCTTTTTACAAATAAATATCAATGCTTTATGAGGGGGGATAAAAATGAATATTTCGTCATGCGATTAAGAGCAAATTAATAAGTACATTATAATAACAAGCATGACGTGACCGTCTGTGCAATAAAATAGATTCCAAACGTTCTCGCAAGCCACAGTCGAGTAACTAACATCAACTGGCGATTGGTTGTTTCACATTTACATAGCATGGAGTTTCTGAATGTAGGATAGAGATAATCAAGCCCTAGTATGATAACTGCATTGGTGGATGATATTCGATGATCTACTGCAGCTGGTAGTAATTATGAAATGCGAAGTTAGTATACATTGTCATTGGTATTATGAACAGATGTATCGAGCTATCGTTAAATTTGTATTAGTAGAATGAAAAGAGGAAGAGAACATTAACTGCAGTTACGAGATACGCGGAGTTGTATTCCTTTTTGACCATGAAGCCTAATGTATTTTGTATCTTTTGTGAGAGATGTGCTCGACTCTGTTTGGGTTGTTAACACCATGCCGTTATCTGCGAGCAGAAGGTTCGCCCGGATTTCAGACTGACAATTTATGAGCATAAAAGTGTCTCTAGACTCGTGATTTACTGAGAAGGTCGCAGGTTTTTCGATCTATGGTCACCTAGTTAACACGTTGATACTATCCTAACCATACAGTCAAAAAAATAGCGATAATGAATAACTAGCCTCAAAGAGTGATTCCTGTGATAGATGATTTGGTACGATCGTTTGGTAGAACTAAATTGATCCATCAAAGTGAAATAAGGCGATATCGACGTGAAGAACGTAAATTATAAGAAAGCGGAAAAATGATCCCAGCCACGTGAATAAGAGTGCAATAATCAGACAAAATGACATGGAAAAACTCGTTAAATGAATGAAAATTTTACGTTGTCGAATGATAAAAAATCCACGTTATTTGTGAATGTCATGGTGTGAATGTACTGTTCACAATATTATAATTCGATGAGCGGGTGAAGTAGTTGCGTACATATTGTGATTTAGTGTCAATATGAATGATGATATTCATTCCAACACAACAATGCGTCTATGACAATGACAAAAGTAATCGCTGGGCAATTTGCGCAGTAGATGAATGAGAAGAGTTGATACATGAACAAAGAACCGAAAACATACTACGATTTGTGTTTGTCCTTGTGTCTTTTAAAGTGGCTGCGCTTTTTGATTCAGATGCAGAAGATTGAGCCATATGCGTTGCTCGTCGACTGAGTCAGCTATGTTGAGTTCGAAAGGTCCTTAATCATCGTAGCTTGCAGGTCGCGTTAATTAAAAAGTGATGGTCACCATTTTAGTAACCCGATCTGACTCCGAATAAATCGCACAATAATGTCAGCGAAATACAATAGCTCTTCCAACATCACGTATGAGCCAACATTAGAGAGCCGAGATCAGAGAACAAAGAATAATAATTTCACATGACAAATTTCAAATGAAAATATCGAAGTAACGTGGCTTGAGATGACGACACCAAATTACTAACGGATTATCATGGGGGAGATGACATGTTATTAAAACCGATACTCTCGAACAAATTTGTCAATGTCAAACCTGACCAATCCAGTAATTGAAATCACATTGATGATCAGAATTCTCATTAATGTAGAGAACCATTCTTGTCAGTAGCTATGTATGGTACAGATGGAACTTTTTGTAAGTTATCCCATAAGTGGGTGTTCATATGGGAGTTTTCGTGTTCATACCGAAGATGATGCAATTAATCATTAATGGATTTCCAAAACAAAAATAGAGGACCTGTGATACAGGGTACGAATGTTTTTGCAGTAATTACGCACTCTAATCACTTGCGCTAAGTAATAACTATATGACAATAAATATTACCTTCATTACTCTATCCTGACTACTAAATATCTAAATGTCATACACTGCGCTCGACACACCTAGAGTCGTACAGGCGTAGTAGATGCCACTGTCTAACTGCTAATCTTGAAAGGCTGTCCTCTTATATAACCGGAATAATCTGCGCCAAACCAAAATGAACATGTTTGTAGGTAGCTTCAAGCTAAACGTTAAAGACAGCCAGGCAAGCCTCCGACCTTGCTGAGCAGACCTAACTTGCTGTTCTGTCCTTTTGGTCTGCATGATAATTGACGTTTTTTGATCGCACATCCGTTTCATGTTGAACTTCAACCAGGCTGGCATGATATCGTCTCGTTGACATGTTTCGAGTTTAATGTGCACGAAAACCGACTTGGGAGGAATATACTTGATTTACTGCTTACAATCAACATAGACTCTACCTCAGTGCATATCAGTCAAGAGTTTCTTATGAGTGATCACGGAGTTGTATTAAGTATTATTCATTCTTTAAACGCCATACAATTGAACTCTAAAGCTTCAGTGATGTACCAGAGCGGACATTTTGATCAAGAAACCTGGAAACGGACTGAAACTCTTATTCAATGTTTACCATGGGAAACTTATTTTACCACAAATAATATTAGCGTTGAGCTTTCCAATCTACACCAAAACCTGATATACTGCCTTTACTGCATTGCTCCAGTTATTGGCCATGCGTCTTATAATGCTAATAGAGGCCAGAATACTTTTAAAACTTTTAAAAGAAGGCTGAAAATATTAAAACACTGCTACTACTAGCATAATGACGTGTATGCACTTCAGAGTATACCTAACTTGATCAACGGAAATGCTTTATCTAAACGCAAGCATTTTATGTATATAGAAAATAAAGCCTTAGGTAGTGAAAGC